ATAATAAACAACCTACCGTACAGTACTGATTTGAATTTTTAGTCGTGCTTTTAAAAGAATTTTATTTATTTTTATTTATTATTATTATTTTTTGAGAGATGTTTGCTATAGGGAGCATGTGCTTGCCAGAGATACAGAGACACAAAGTGACAGAAAGGGAGAGCTCCCCCCCCCAGGGGGCATGGCCATGCCACACTCCCTTCTTCATTCTCCTCTTAGGGGTTTGGGCATGCACACACATGTGCCCAGTGTGAATTTCAAGTTGTCAGATCTGGTACTTGAACCATGGTCAACCACATGGGAGTCCAGTGCTTTAACCACAACACCACCTACTGGCCCCATTATTATTATTTTTTAATTCACCAGAGAGAGAGACACACATACACACACACACACACACACACACATGTAGAGAAAGAGAGAGAGAAAGAGAGAAAGGTGAGAAAGGTGAGAAAGCAAGCCATCAGATCTGGGACTCAAACCGTGGTTGGCCACGTGGAAGTCCAGTGCCTTAACCATCGTGCCATCTGCTGGCTCCTCAGAATTTAAATAGTATATATGAAAGATTTTTGTAAACTGCAAAATGCAATGTAATGTTAGCTATTACTATGTTTGAAAAGGCCACGTGGCCGGGGCTCATTGCCTGGCGCATCGTAGGTGATCCAGAAACCTCAGTTCCCTTTCAGACATACATAGCCCCAAAGCCCTAGAGCAAGGCTCAGCCCTGAGGGACCTTATTCCATCTGACAGGTAGGAATAATTAGCGAGTCGCACAGGCACTGTTTTATGTGCCACCTTCCTCAGTATTGATTTGTTGATCAAAATTTTTATTTAGATGGAGCATAAAAATAAACCAGCCCAAATTCTGCAGGAAGTATCACAGGTTTAGAATTAATGAGGTCCAAATTTATGAGGGTTCTGACTGGTTACTTCCTCTGCTTGTCTTCTCGTGTTGGGACGGAATGGGGAGAAAGTGATTGTGATAAAGAAGAAGGATCTGGCTGTCTCTGAGGCTGGTAGTCCCTCCTTCCACACCTGCTTGAGCTCCCTCCCCCCTTGTTCTTCCTCAGTGAAGAACTATGTGGGGTCTTCAAAAAGTCCATGGGCATGCATATCAAAAAGTATGGATTTCAAAAATTTTTGTGCTAAAATAAATTCACACTGAAATTCCACTTTTTCCACAAACTTTTTGAAGTATCATTATGTTTCTCCAAAAACTAGTGTCCTGCTTCTTCTTTTTCATAAGTCTGTTTGTTTATTTATTTATAAAGAGGAAGAGAGGAAAGCACCCTCAACAGGGTCTTCACACCTCGATCCACCCCCAGCCTCAGCCAGCCCAGATCATGCACGCTCCCAGCATGTACAGGAAGACCTAGGGCTGCAAAGCCAGGACCTTCCCATGTGGACTGAGTGTCACTAAGTAATTGTGTTACATTCACACCACCTCAGCTGGGTGAGAGTCCAGTTTTTAAAACTGTAATGTGACTTGGGATACGGGCAGAAGTCTCTTAGTTCAGCTCTGGTAATTCTACTCTATGAAACTGTGCATTGTGCCCACAATGTTTTACAGCAAGACTGTCCCTCATGGAAATCTGAGTGCCCTCGGGAAGGAGGTAATTTACTTCAGAGTGGAGCAAGTGAGGCCAACAGTGGCAAATGTCTTGTGTTCCTGATGTACTAGGACAGTAGTTCTCGGAGTGTGATCTCTGGATCAGCAGCCTCCATACCACCAAGGAACTTGATAGAAATGCAAACTTTAGGGCTGGCCCAAAGTCTAGTGGGTTAAGGGAGCCAGATGCCAAATGGCCAACCATGAGTCAAATCATGGCCCAGTAGCTTGAAGAAAACTATGGGCATGTAGGCCCCAAATCCCGATAGTATGGAGAAATAGAAGGGATTGTGATGTGATCCTCTGTCTCTTTCTCTCTCCATTTCTGTGTCTCTCTCTCCCATGTACCTTCTGGCAATTCCAAAAAAAAGCCTGTGAGGCCTTGCCTTGGTGGTACATGCTGGTAAGATACTGTGTTCCGCAGGCTCAGACCACGGCAGAGACCTGGATTTGATTCCATCTGATTCCAGGTCCAACCTAAAAGTCAGACACATGATGGTATGTGCCTGTAGTCCCAGCTGGGAGGATGAGGCAGGAAGATCATGACACAGGGAAATCTTTTCTTTAAAAAAACAAACAAACAAACAAAAAAACAAGAAAGAAAGAGAATAAGAGGGAAGGAAGGAAGGAAGGAAGGAAGGGAGGGAGGAAGGAAGGAAGGGCAAACTTTTGAGACCATCCCACATCTACTGTATCAGAAAATCAGAAACTCTGGGAGTGGAGCCCAGCTGTCTGCTTTAAGATCTCCTGTTTGCTCTGATGCACACTCAGGTTTGAGATCAAAGATAAAAAGAAAGGGTTAAGGGCCAGACTCCACTCTCTGGAGGAAGAGAGCCAGAGTTCTCAACTCAAATAGTGGGTGATACCACCATTTAAGAGGGTCCTGGCACATGCTCATTGAACTCATTGGAATAAGATTAACTTAAACTTGTTTCTCCACTTGTGCTAGGACAACAGTTCTCATTCCAAGTGGCACATTAGAGTCAGCCTGAAAGCACTTTAAAAATACCCCCACCTCAGCCATCTCATGACCTGGTGGTTAAGGCAGCTGGGTCCCACATGGTCAACTGTGTAGTTTGAGTCCCAGACCCAGTGACTTAAGAAACATGCCGGGAATATGTGTGTGCATGCCCCAAATCCCTGAAGAGTGAAAAGATGGAGGAGAAGGGATTTGCAATGTGACTATCCCCCATGGGAGTGTTTTCTCACTTTCTCTTTTTGTGTCTCTTGCAAGCACACTCTCTGGTAAATAAAAGAAAAAAATAAAGAAAAAGAAAAAACCTGTATAAGCTGAGACCTTACCCTACTAAATCAGAATCTCTGGAGTCAAGTCTGCTTCTGCATTTTTTAAGCTTCTATCCGATTTTGATGTTCACTCGGCTGAGATCTATCAATTCAGAGGGTATCTTTCTAAGGAAACATGTGATTTGGGTTGTCTACATCAATCACAATTTTTTGTTAGACATTTATTTTACCTATTTATATGAGAAAAATTACATACTTGCTATAGAAAATAATACTTGTAAAATATAGAATAATTGATAAAAGAAATAACACTCATGTTCTAACTACCCAAAAGCAGTTGTCAGTATTGTGATGTGCTTTCTTTCAAATGTTTGTGTGTGCGTGTGTGTACGTGTGTGTGTGTGTGCACGCACACTGGCTTGAATTTTTACAGCACTGTGATTATAGTTAATATACCATTTGCTATCCGTTTTAACTCAATAGTGTATCTTTAGCTCTGCACATTGCTATAATTATATTTTTACAGCAACATGAAAATAATTTTTTTCTGCATTTTGTATATACATACATCAGGATGGCATTTACAGAGTCCTTTGTTTCTCTACCATGCTTATATTTCAGGGGTTTCTACACCCCTATTTCAAGTGTCAGAAGTGGAGCATTAACTTCTTTTTTTTTTTTTTTTTATTTCTTCCATGGTCCTAGCCTGCCCTTGTTCTTTCCCCACCTCAGATGTGTAGGTAGATGTCTGCCTCAGGTAGAGGAGGGATCAAGTCTTACTGCAGAAAGCCAAGAAAGGAAAGCACATAAATATTTGTCCCGTGTTTTATAACCACCATTCTACTTGTCAGCCTCAGCCACAAAGCTGTAGTCACACAGGTTGATTCATACGCATACATGAACACAGAGCAGTCTCAGCAGACCCAGTCCGGCAGACTTTGGAAAGAAAGAAAACATGCAAACAAGGCAGAAACAGGAGGAAGCTGGGGCAGGTAAGGACGGTGGGACAGATACTAACTCATGTTCTCAGGCACCAACGCACCATGTGCTCAGCCAAGATGCCAAAATCAGGCCACTTGTCCCTTTTTTCCCCTATCCGCTTTTGACATAACGTTCTCAGGACAATACTCTTTGTTGTAAAGTGATATATGTGTATGTGTATATTGCGTATGTGTGTGTGTGTATATATATATATATATATACACATACATATATATACACATGGACTGTTAATATTAATATATTCTTTCAATAATATGTATTTTTACATACATAATATATATTTACATATTTTCAATAATATATATTTTACATCTATATTATATTATATATGGTATATCATATTTTAATTTAGTTGAGTTTTATATAATATATATTAATGCATTTTAAACAATATATATTTTTTACATAATTATATTATATATAAATGAAGTGGGCCTTCAAAAAGTTCATGGAAAATGCATATTGTGAGAAAAAATGCATAGATTTCAAAATTTTTTTGCATGTAAGTAAACATACACTAATCTTCTTTTGCCATGAAATTTTTTTGAAATTCACTCATATCTATTTATATGTATATATAATATGTATTTATGTGTATATATAATTTCCTCATATATATCTATTTATATGTATATCTAGTATATATAAATAGATAGTTATGTCTATGCATGTATGTGTGTGTATGTATTATATGTACAAGAGACTTCAAAAAGTTTTTGTAAAAATAAACTCATAGTTTAATTTTATGTGTTCATGAATTTTTTGAAGTCCTCTTGTGCATATCTGTATGTATTCGGTCATTGGAAAAGTCATGACACGTTCTTGCATAAAAAAAACAAAAATACGTGATGATTTTTCCAACAACTCTATACATATACACACACCCAAAAGGACTTTAAAAAGCTCGTGGAAAGATGGAATTAAAATACTGTTGCAAAAAATGTTGAGATTCATGCAGTCGTTTCCTAAGATGCATTTTCCTCAAGCTTTTTGAAGACTCCCCTTGTGTAAGATCGGTGATGGCTCCCACCTTTTGACTGAGTTGGAAAAGGTGCACCCCCGTTGCAGGATGCCACCGAGCTGCAACTGTCCTCTGTGTTGGTGTCATGGATGCTTCGGGTAATTCTGCCCCATCTTCTTGCAGGGCATTATGGGAAGGATGCTTACCGAAGTGGAGGACCAGATCTCCATAACTTCATCTCATCTGGATTTGTCACGTTAGGAAGAGGACACACGAAGGGTACAGTGGAAACCATTTTTTACTAAAATACAGAGGTTGCCTAGGGAACCCCAATCTGAAATGTGAAGATGGTGACCAGAGGCTTGTCCGGGACAGGAATAAGTGGGGTGGTTCCATTGGCAGCTTGCCCAGGTGACATGCATGGCTTCCCACAGGAGTGACTGAGAGGTCACAGTTATGACTTGAGAGAGCTATAGACTTCCAGGAGACATCCACCTGCTCCGCCCAGGGCAGGGATTGGAGGCAGAGGCCCATGGCTCCCTGGGGGAGGAGCCCCAGGCAGCCTCGTGGGAAACACTGCCAGTGGATGTGGCAGCATTTGCAAAGTGTTTACCCGCCTCTTGGCTATTATTCCTTTTTCTTTTGAAAGCCCCATTTTATAAATCGATGTCAATGTTCTGTACTGTGAGTTTCTGAGCCAGCATGCATGTGGAGAGTTTCAGCATCCTAAGCGTGTCTCTGCAAACACTCTGACGTGGACACAAAGGTAGCCGTCATGCAGGCCTGCAAGCCGCAAGACGAAAGCTAACCTAGTGTTTCCGCCAAGCTGCTTTACCACCGAGCTGGCAGCTTGCTGAGCATCTGTGCAGGGGGTGTGGGATCCTCCTCGATTCCGTCTTCTGTCTAAAGAGTCCTACTAGTGTTGTGAGTATTCTGTGACAACAAGAGTAACCGGACCCCTCACTCCTTCAATTACCTTCCTAACACCTGTGTGCTGTTACAGACCCAAATGTGAATTCTGTCGTAGGGATAGTATATCCCTGTCTTCCTCTGAAATATGCGTCTGTTTCAAGTGTGAGTGAACAAGGAACTTTGCAATATTTTCTTACATCCCATGCACCTATTTTTTAAATTCTCTATGTGATGTTTGTTCATTCTATATAGAAAAAAAATCTGTATCTGTGTATGTATTTTCTGTTGTGTCTACTTGTGTCTAAATAAAGTTTATTGAGGATACAGGTGGCATTTGTGGCTACTAAGAGTTGCTGAATCAAACTGGGATCAGCTGCTTCCAAAAGGGCAAACGGGCTGCACAGGGAAACTCTGAGAGGCTGAGTCATCGTCACCAGGTCAAACTGACAGTTTCCAACCCCTGCGCCATCCGCTTGGTGATAGTTACCTGCAATTACAAAATGGATTATAAAAACAGCATCTTAAAGCAGTGATAAACATTTATAAAAGGTCTTCAAAAGTTCATGGAAAATGTGTATTATGAAACACTATGCACAGATTTCAAAAATGTTCACACCAAAATAAACATTTAATGTAATCCATTTCATTCCATTTTTCCACAAACTTTTGCAAGTCCCTTCGTATTACCTCACATCGTTTCTGTGGGACAGGAATTTGAGTGCTTCTGTCCTGGGGTCTTTCATGAAGTTGCTGTCACAGTGCATCATCTGAAGTCTTGACTGGGACCGAGGAACTGCTTCTAAGATGGTTCACATGCATGGTGCTGGCTGTTGGCATGAAGCCTCAGTTCCTCCCATGACACTCTCCCCATGGACTACTGGCATGTCTTCATGGTATAGTGTCTGGGTGTCCTTAGAGTGGATGATGCAAGAAAAAGACATAAGCCACAGTGTCTTTCATAACCAAGCCTGTGAATTACACATCAACACTCTTGCAATATCCTATAGGTTATATAAGTCAGTCCTATTCAGAATAGGAGGGAACATGGATCCTTGAGGGCAGTTTTAAAAGCTGTCTACCACATGGCCGCAACCCATAGAATGGAGCTACAAATTCAGATTTTTCAAACAAAACATGACAGCTCTTCCCGAGGTTTCTCAATTGCAATGGTTTCCCACTCTTACCTCTACCCCTTGTACATGGTCCAGCCTGAACCATCAAATATTTCAACCACCTCTTTATATAGATCGTGATTATTGTGGATTTTGGTTGATGTATTTAATTATGAATTTTTTTGGAGAGGTTTTTGCTATAGGGTGCGTGTGCTCGCCAGAGAGAGACAGAGAGACAGAAAGCGAGAAATCACCCCCCAAAGGGGATGGCCACACCGCAATCCCTTCTCCTCAGTTCTCTTGGGATCTTGGGCACGCACGCACATGCTCCCGGCGTGAGTTTATTTTATTTTATTTTATTTTATTTTATTTTATTTTATTTTTTAAGCCACTGGGTTCGGGACGTGAACCGCATTTGACTACATGGCAGTCCAGCAATATAGCCATTACACTAACTGCTGGTCCCTCATTAAGAAATATTTAACAAAGCTGGCTATGCACTAAGCAATATTCAGGAGCAAACACAATAGAGTCTTTTCTTATGGAACTCACATTCCATTGGGGGAAGCAGATAAAAATAAACTCTTGACAACTTGTGCAAGGAGAAATAATAAAGCAGATCAGGGGGCAGAAAGTGCTATGGCAGGAAGCTACTCCCACCAGGGAAGTCCTCTCACCTTGTAAGTTGGTAACTGAGCAGAGAACTGCACTCCAGGCAGAGACAATAGGAAGATCTGTTATAGAAGCTTTCTTATGTCAAGAAAAAGGAAGGAGGCCAGTGTGGGTGAAGAAGGACAGAACGGGACATGAGAGTGAGAGGAGATAGGATCAGAGGCACAGGGAAACCAGGCTATGCATGTATGAGATGGTGACTGTAGGCTACTTTCAGATCAACTAGACCTCCTTGATAGAACATGAAGGTGGTTCTCTATCCCACCTGTCCTTTGAGCCACTGTCCCCTAGGGCATCTAGGAGACCCTATGCTGTATATGCCTGTGAGACTTTACTGTGTCTTCTGCTGCTTATCTCCCCATCTTACCTCCTTCTGCGGCATCACTCATAACTCCTCTGTGTATGTTACCTGTTCTCCCCGTGCTTTGTCCTTACCAGATACTCCTGTCTACTTCTGGCTCTCCAAGCCTTTGCTACTGCCTCTTTTCATGACTATCCCTTGTGTAATTTCCTATTTAGGTAATACCTAAGGCTTCATGAGCAAAGAGCCTGGGGTTGAGGGTTGAGGTGGCTTAGGAAACTGGGGTTCCCTTCTAATATGAGAGACCCTTTAGTGCCTAGACAGTGTGGGTTTTTGGAGAAGGGCCAAGCTCCATTCTCTCTGTTCCTTTAGAGCAAAGCAAGTTCAACTCTGAGTGGTACCTACAAGAAAAACAGCCCTGTGTCAATACCCTGTGGAAGGGAACCACTAAAAGACATCTAACATGGGGCCATTCTTCATCATGTGTGTTTAATTCTTTTTTCTTTCCAGTTTTACTTCAACTCCAGATATCGCCTTTCCTGACCTTTTTATTTATTTATTTATTTTTGTTCTTCTTCATACATTTCCTATAGGCCTTCTGGTTGCATGCACCATTATGTAGTCCATTGTGACCCTCAGGAATAAAGAGGAGGCTGACAACTCCTTTAAAAGCTAATACCATGTCTACCTACCCACCTACTGAACTTCTAGTCAGACTCTAATTATCCAAGAACCAAGCCTTATTGGTCCCTTTTCTGAATAGCACTGGGAGTCTGCATTGGAAGCTTGGTGGACCCAGTCCTGTTCTCCATGTCTACAGACCTCAAAGGCTTGAGGGACACAGAAGTAAAGTCTAGCTTCACTAGGGGCACCTGTAGCTGCAGAGAGCAGTAAGTAAGATACACATAGGGCTGTCTGCTCTGTAACAAGATCCAAGGGACATCTTCATAGCGAAAGCCTAAAGTAAGTAGATATTCTTTTGCTAGTGGGATCTAGAAGGTGATACATAAATAGAAATAGAATTCTGAGAGTAGGGGCTTCATAGTCTTCGAAACCTTCTATTTTATGTCTCATTGGGAGACTCCTCACTTTATCCCAGGAAGTCCCACACCTCCCAGGTTGTACAGTACTCACTGTATTAGGCTCCACAGGCACTAGAATACGTACCGGGGTCTCTTTTCCGGACTTTCTAACTTTCCACCACACTAACTGAACAGCGTGCTCTCATCTTTTCTTTTTAAGTTTATGTATTTATCGAGGTATGTGTATGGATACCCTCGACAGGGTCTCTGAACCTCTTGGTCTAACCTTACCCACCTCACTCTCCAGCTAGTCAGGATCACTGGCACCCACAGGCACACCAGCGTGTTCAGATTGACCTAGGATCTGAACCCTGGGCCTCCAATATGGCTTCAGTATCACACAGCAATGCCCTACTGACTGTGCCATCATACCTGGGCCTTTTGTTATAATCCTTACTATTCCTCTTACTTCTTCTAAGAATCTACTTCTGCTTATTTATTTCTTCCTGTGACCTCCTGCTTGTTCGTCCATCAGAGGAAATAGAAGCCAAGGTTAAGGAAGATGTTAATATGAGTGGCCGTGAGTTTAGATAAGGTTCCCCCTAAAATCTCTTATCTGTTAATTTAACAGAATTACCTAGATTCTGACAGGAACCAGAGAGTAGTCTTTAGGAAGGCAAGGGTTGGCTTGGACCCCCACAGCGAAAACCAATAATGGCTTCTGTTTGCTGAACCTCTGTTCAGACCAGCATTTCGCATACATTGTCTTACTTTCTAGGGGCTATCAGGTGGCATGGTGGTTGACTGACTGCAGTTTGAGTCCTAGACCAGGTGGCTTGCTTTCTCCCACTCTCTCTCTGGTTAAATGAAATAACAACAACAATAATAATAATAGATAATATTAAATGAATAATTTTTAAAAAAGAAAAAAACTCCATGAGAAGATTTTTGTTTTGTTTTGTCAAAGGGTAAAACTAGCTGGAGAAAAAGAGAAGACAGAGAGAAAGATAAAGTGAGAAAGTACCCCCAAAGGGGATGGCCATGCTACAATCCTCCCTTCTCCATTCTCCTCTTGGCATTTTGGGCATGCATGTACTTGCCACCCAGGTTGTTTTTTAAGCTTCTGGGGTCTGGGACTTGAACTGTGCAGTCAGCTATGTGGGATTCAGCCATTTTTAACCACTATGGCACTGACTGGTGAACTCTTGTTATCCTCATTTACAGGTGAAAAAATGGAAACTCAGAATGGTTGACTTACTT